TATGCCCCTTATATCTCACAGTGTCTCATCTATGCCCCTTATATCTCACACAGTGTCTCATCTATGCCCCTTATATCTCACACAGTGTCTCATCTATGCCCCTTATATCTCACACAGTGTCTCATCTAAGCCCCTTATATCTCACACAGTGTCTCATCTATGCCCCTTATATCTCACACGCTCTCCTCAGAGTGTAACTTATGGTTACACCTACACTGCCAGTTACACTGAATTTCTATGCTGATTATATGTTTATTTTTCTCTTTGTGTGTGTGTGTGTGTGTGTGTGCACATGCCGTGGGTGCCCAGGCTGCTAAACGAGGCCACTGGTTCTCTTCTGGATGATGTTCAGTTGGTGAACACTCTACAGACCTCCAAAGTGACAGCCAGTGAGGTGTCTGAGCAGCTGGAGACCAGTGAACAGACAGAGATCAAGATCGACATGGCCAGAGAGGTGTGTGTGGGAGGGGGCAACAAGAAATGCTATTGGGTGGTTGCAGAAAGAGGCAGGACCCCGCTTAAGATTGAGATCCATCTGGAGTTTTTGCTCTCTTGTAAAATAAAACATTGACGGGACGTCCCCAAAATGCAGGCACGTCATCATCAAAGGCACATTGTGTGGGGTTAGAGATCAGTATCTGCAGTAGTAGTTCCTCAAAGACTGATACAAGTGTGTATATGTGTGTGTCGACATGCAGGCATATCGGCCCTGTGCCCGGCGTGCCTCTATCTTGTTCTTCGTGCTAAATGACATGGGCCTTATTGAGCCCATGTACCAGTATTCTCTGGACGCGTACATCGACCTGTTCAACCTCAGCATCGAGAAGAGCCAGCACAGCTACAAGCTGGAAGAGAGGATCAACAGCCTTAATGACTACCACACCTACGCTGTCTACAGGTATAAGTACATACATTACATATACCACAACTAGGCTATCTATGGGTACATGTACACACATTACATAACACATCTACACTGTCTACAGGTACATGTATCCCCATGGCATGCACACATGGCATATACCATACCTACACCATCTACATGTATGTACATGTACACACATGGCATATACTGTACCCCACCCATTCTGTCTACAGGTATATGTACACTCCTGACATGTACCACACCCACACTGTATATAAGTTCTACAACATACCTCCATTGCTTTATGGAGGCCAGGAGTATTTAAGGACTGTTTGCGTGCAGGTTCACCTGCCGTGGGCTGTTTGAGTGCCACAAGCTGCTCTTCAGCTTCCACATGTGTGCTAAGATCCTGGAGGCAGGAGACAAACTCAACATGGATGAGTTGAGCTTCTTCCTGCGGGGAGGCCTGGTGAGCTCTCCCTCGGAGCAGCAAGGAGAATCTAGTACTGCATCTTTGCATCTTTGTGCTTGTCTTTTGCTATTTGTCTATCTGAGTGTATCGCTGTCTGACTGTCTGCCTTTCCACGCAGGTTTTGGACAAAGAGGGTCAGATGGATAACCCATGTAGCAGCTGGCTGCCAGACTCAAGCTGGGACAATGTGACTGAGCTGGACAAGCTAGCCAACTTTCACGGGCTGGTGGACTCCTTTGACCAGTACCCGCAGGACTGGCACGGGTGGTACACCAGCACAGAGCCTGAGCACACCCCCCTCCCCGGTGTGTGTCGGCAAGGCTGAGTGCTTGCAAGAACCACTGTTAATGGTCGAGTGAGTCATTGTCATTTTCTCCATGCCGCCCTCTACAGGTGAATGGGAGAACAGATGTAACGAGCTGCAGAGGATGCTGATCGTCCGCTCGCTGCGGCAGGATCGCATCCCCTTCTGTGTCGCCAGCTTCATCGTCAATAACTTGGGCTCCCGCTTCGTGGAGCCGCCCGTACTTGACATGAAGGCCGTAGGTGTCAGTGGAGGCCAGCCCTGGTCCTCCGCCACCCCCACTGGTCTGTAAGCAGTACATCTCCCATCACACCTCATGGCGCCAGACACATGGGCTGGATATTCTCTCCCCAGGTGGTGGAGGACTCCAGCACCAGGACCCCACTGATCTTCGTGTTGTCACCGGGCGTAGACCCCACGGGTGCCCTGCTGCAGCTGGCAGAAGCGTCTGGCATGAGTCGCCGCTTCCATGCGCTGTCCTTAGGGCAGGGACAGGCACCCATCGCCACACGCATGATCAAGGAGGGGGTGAAGAACGGTTAGACACACTCGGACAGCACCTTCCTGTAATAAACCACATACACTTCTTTACCTGGCATGTATATATACAGAATTTATACACCCTCCCTTACCTTATATTCATGCCAATTGAACTAACAAACACTCCCTTATCTGGCATGTATATACAAAGAATTTATACACGCTCCCTTACCTTGCTGTTATTTAGACAGAATGTACCTGTAGTGCCCTAACTAGTTGTTATAAACAGAGAAACTGCTCACAGACCCTTAACTGGTCCTAGACTCAGCAGCCTTGAGTGAGTGCCCACTCCTATGGTGTGTATTTTGGTCGTCACTGAAGGCGTCGAGTGCTTTACACTGTTCAAATGTATTGGGACAATGTGTACTTCAAAGTCACTGTCAGCTCCTGTCAGGCTGTTTACTCTGTATACTTCTGCACAAGTACCGCACGGGTACCCTTCTAGTTAACCATTCAGCGAGCATTCAGAAAATGTGCTTTCAGTTGATTGTGGTCAGGGTGACATGGTGGGTGGCAGTGAGTCTCACAGGCTTGGGGTTCAAGTCCCGCCCACGCTGTGTGTGTGCGTGTGTCTGTCTGTCTGTGCGAGTCTGTATGTGTCTCTGTGTGTCTGCCTGTGTCTGTACCTGTGTCTGTATGTGCATATGCCAGTGTCTGTGTGTGTCTGCCTGTGTCTGTGCCTGTGTCTGTGTGTGTCTGCCTGTGTCTGTGTGTGTGTGCCCTGCCATGGACTGGCATCATGGCCTTAGTGCCTTACGCTGCCAGGGCCCTAAACATGCACTGTTCTCAACATTAAGCATCATTTGTGTGTAACAGAAGCATTGTTTGTTGCTATATTTGTCATATACTGTTCATGAGATGGGGCGGCACGGTGGTGCGGTGGTTAGCACTGTTGTCTCACACCTCCGGGACCTGGGTTCGAGTCTCCTCCTGGGTTACATGTGCGTGGAGTTTGCATGTTCTCCCCATGTCATCGTGGGGTTTCCTCTGGGTACTCCAGTTTCCCCCCACAGTCCAAAGACATGCTGAGACTAATTGGAGTTACTAAATTGCCCATAGGTGTGAATGGTGTGTGAGTGTGCCCTGTGATGGTCAGGGCAGCCTTTCCAGGATAGGCTCTGGACCCCCCACGACCCAGAAGGATAAGCGGGTTGGGAAATGGATGGATGGATGTTCATGAGATTTAGTGCCTCACACCCAACTTATGGGAATGAAATTTTTCTAAAAAGGTTCAACATGCACACTGGATCAGACCGGGCCCTGAGGCCAAAGCTGACCCTCCAGATGGATATACTGCAATTATGACATATTATTGTTTGACTTTTTGATCATGAGTCCATTTGTGATTCAGATATGATTTTGGTTCTCCTGGGTGACCTAATGAGCTGTGTTGCCCCCCTCCCAGGTCACTGGGTGTTCCTGGCAAACTGCCACCTGTCCCTCTCCTGGATGCCCCAGTTGGACAAGTTGGTGGAGCAGCTGCAGGTGGAAGAACCTCACGCAGACTTCCGCCTGTGGCTCAGCTCCTCTCCCCACCCGGACTTCCCCATCGCCATCCTGCAAGCCGGCATCAAGATGACCACTGAGCCACCCAAGGTGGACACACATCATCCGAGTCACACGCCGTCATGCTCGTTTTAGACCAGAGACTTGCACACAAAAAGCAAATTGTAGTATTATCCATATTAGTGACCTATTCCTCTGATATGTATACCTTTCCCCTCTGTTTGTCCCTTCATCTCCTCCTCTACTCCCTGATTCCATAAGGGTGTGCGATTGACCACTCTCTGTCGCCCCCTACAGGGTGTGAAGTCCAACATGAGGCGCCTGTACCACCTGGTCAGCGAGGCCCAGTTCAACCAGTGCACACGGCCAACGCCATACCGCCGGCTGCTCTTCAGCCTCTGCTTCTTCCACAGCATCCTGCTGGAGCGCAGGAAGTTCCGGCAGCTGGGCTGGAACATCACCTACAGCTTCAACGATTCGGACTTGGAGGTTCTGCTGTGCTCCCCCAGCCGGTGTCCGCTCTCACTAGGGCCCATAGCTGCTTGCTGCCTCCCTCCATATCTGTCCATCCTCTCGTTCACTATCCTTTACATCCCCATATCTGACTGTTACGCCCCCCCACTCCCCCATCACTGCATTTTTCATGCACTTCCTCACTCCCCCACCCGCCGTCTGCCTGTTCACCCCCCAGGTGAGCGAGAACCTGTTGAAACATTACCTGGACCAGCAAGAGGAGGTACCCTGGGACGCCCTCAGGTACCTGATCGCAGGGGTCATCTACGGAGGTCATGTGACCGATGAGTGGGACAGACGGCTGCTCACCACCTACATCAACGACTGCTTCTGCGAGGGCGCCATTACTGTGCCATTCTTCAAGTGAGGCCACGCACCTGCACATTCAAGCTCACGCACATTTTCACAGTCATCTCCACAGCTCCCAGTCTGATGTTTACCACAGGCTTACACTAGCACAAATAGACACAGGAATACCCATAGAAACGCACATCTCACCTTCATGCAACATGTAGTTCACAGCCAGTTTAATGTTGTGAAGTTCACTATTGCCACCATGTGGCCATTTTTGGTATTACTCTATGTTTGTTTTTTTGTCTGCGTAAATTTCTTTAATGAAGCAGCAGTCAATAGATTGGAAGTGTTGATTTTTATAATATTTATATTTAAATGATAAATGCATAATGTAATCTTGTTTATCTGGCTGTGCAGAATATGAGGCAGGTCCGCTGTTGTGGCACTGATGTGTTGTGTTGGCTATGAGCTGCCTGTTGTGTTTACGCTCCATGCTGTGTGTGGCCTCCAGACTGTCCCCATTGCCCACCCACTACATCCCACGGGACGGCCCCCTGTCCTCCTACCTCGACTACATCGGCCAGCTGCCCAGCGCCGAGCACCCTGAGCTATTCGGCCAGCACCCCAACGCCGACATCGGCAGCCAGATCTCGGAGGCTCGCACGCTGTTCCACACGCTGCTGTCCCTGCAGCCGCCCCTTTGCGGTGCCACGGCCCTGGGGGCGGGACCGAGCCCAGAGGCCAAGGTGTGTTCCTGCATGCATGTGTGCATGTGCGTGTGCGTGTGTGTGTGTGTGTGTGTGCTGGTGTGTTAATGAAGGTACACATCCCATCACCTGTGTTTGTGCATCTGGTTCCTCAGGTGCTTGAGATCGCCGCAGACGTGTGGCAGAAGATTCCCGGGCAGCTGGACTATGAAGGAACCCGGAAGCTTCTGCAAGATGACCCCTCCCCACTCAATGTGGTGCTGCTGCAGGAGATCCAGAGATACAACACCCTGCTTGGGGTCATCAGGTCCCCTAGCCCACCGGCCTGCCTGCATGTGTGTGTGCGTGAGCGCATGCGTAAGTGTGTGTGTTCCTGAGTGTGAAGGAGAGCACACTTTAGGTGCGAATCAGGAAGTTTATTTCTATTTTTCCATGTATAAAATGTCCAAACGTGTATGAGGACAGACACACGAGTGTATTTTATTTTCATATGGTGTCTGTGTCCCGTGCAGGTCATCCCTGGTGGAGCTGGAGAGGGGTGTACAGGGTTTGCTGGTGATGTCCAGCAGCCTGGAGGAGACCTTCGCCTGCATCCATGCTGGCCGCGTGCCGCCCCTCTGGGAGAAGGTGGGCAGGGATGAGACATCGGGGCCTGCAAGGCGCCTCTGACACAGCGACACACTGAAGCACACGTGTGGGTCACTGTGCTGTCAGTGCTTGTGCGGGGGCCATGTCAGATGCTCCCTTTTGTGTGACTGTGTGTGTGACAGTGTATCTGTTACCGTGTACGAGTGTTTAGATCTCAGCTTATTTTGTGTGTGTGTCAGTAAGGTATTGTGTGTGATTATGTGTGTTTGTGTGTTTGTAGCAGACTGTCTGTATGATTGTGTGTGTCTGTAGCAGACTGTCTGTGTGATTGTGTGTGTCTGTAGCAGACTGTCTGTGTGATTGTGTGTGTTTGTAGCAGACTGTCTGTGTGATTGTGTATGTCTGTAGCAGACTGTCTGTGTGATTGTGTATGTCTGTAGCAGACTGTCTGTGTGATTGTGTATGTCTGTAGCAGACTGTGCGTGTGATTGTGTGTGTTTGTAGCAGACTGTCTGTGTGACTGTGTGTGTTTGTAGCAGACTGTCTGTGTGACTGTGTGTGTTTGTAACAGACTGTCTGTGTGATTGTGTGTGTCTATAGCAGACTGTGTGTGACTGTGTGTGTTTGTAACAGACTGTCTGTGTGATTGCGTGTGTTTGTAGCACACTGTCTGTGTGATTGTGTGTGTCATCAGTAGAGTGAACATCAGAGGGCTCCATAGGTTCACTCTCGCCTGATCCCGGTCTGTGTACAGAGACTCACTTCAGGTAAGTGCGGCGCAATAACAGGCATGAAACACAGTGTGCTGCTGCAGTTACGCTGGATACGGAGCAGCCCTTTGGAGCCTCAGATCTGCATAGCAGTGGAGCAGCTCCTCAGGCCGGCGAGATGCCACAGGCGTCCATCAGAGCCCTGACTGAGTCCCCCTTGTGTAATTACTTTCAGTCCTTTTAGCTCAAGTAGCGCAGTCCCATTGAAGCGCATGGCAGCCACCGCCGCCGGCCAGGCGGCATGCGGGGGAGCGCCGCATCCCGCTCATCTGCATTCCCGCCTCCCATCTCAGTCATTAGTCCCTAGAAACAGAATTAATTTAGCCCTCTTCTCTGTCTTAGCCATAAACATTCTCTGTCTCTGTTCTGTGCTGGAGCGCGGGGCTCTTTGCTGCCATATTAGCTGTACTTCACTACCTTTGTCATCACGGATTTGGCTTTGTTGCGCCTCTCCAAATGGCTTCCCTTTTATCTTGCACATCGCTATTTCGCTGTGGCCTCCTGACGCATTTAGCGATAAAGCCTCCGGTGTGATCACAGCGGGAGCGCGGCGTAAACTCTACCAGCTGAAATGCGTGCAGAGGAGGACGGACGCAGGGTGAGGCCGGCCAGCGGCGCCTGATTCCCGGTGCTCTCCCCCAGGCGTACCCCTCACTGAAGCCCTTAGCGTCATGGATGCGGGACCTGTGCCAGCGTGTGGAGCAGTTTGCCTGCTGGGCGCAGACGGCACACCCCCCCACGCTCTTCTGGCTGTCCGGATTCACCTTCCCCACTGGCTTCCTAACAGCTGTGCTGCAAGCCTCCGCCCGCCAGAACAACGTGAGCACCCCCCGCCACATCCCTTACGCGCACACTGAGCGCACTCACGCCGGCGACGGCCCCTTTGCCACACTGAGCATGCTCACAACATCCCTTTCTTCACAATGACACACTGAGCATGCTCAGTGCGGGCACGAGGACACTGACATACTGAACCATGCTCTCACGCAATCAGTCACACTTTGCTCACTGTATGTCACAGCCACAAGACTGCCACACACATTTACCTGGAGCAGAAACATTCAGGGCCCCTTTCCCGAATATAGAGCCACCCAGGTAAGTCATCTCACAGGCTGTATACATCTCTGCAGGTGTCAGTGGACACTCTGTCCTGGGAGTTTACAGTCTCCACAGTGGACGACAACAACCTCCTCTTCCCCCCCAAGGTAAGCTCCTGCTCCCCCATCTCTGTCCGGTACTCCCCCACCTGGAGATGCCCTACATCCCCCCCTTTCCACCTTGCCTTCCCCATGGCAGGACGGCGTGTTCATCCGGGGGCTATTCCTGGAGGGGGCCGGCTGGGACAAGAAGCACTGCTGTCTCGTGGAACCGGAGCCCATGCGGCTGGTCTGCCCCGTCCCCACCATCCACTTCAAGCCTGTGGAGAACCGCAAGAAGACCACCAAAAGTGCGTCCCCCGCAGTGCCACCACTGCTGCAGTCTCATTCTGCCTTAGAGCTGGGGCCTATCGCTTTACTCAGAGCGCTTTATTGGCCAGTAAATACACTGTCACCATGCCAAAGCACACACAGCAGCAAGTGCGAATGTGCCACCAAACAGTCTGAGCAGGAGTTCCCCCTAAATGGCATCAGTGCAGGCAGTGAGTCACACTTATTGTTATGCCATCGCTCAGGCAGGTGCTACGCCGGCATTTACAGCTGCTCATCCCGAGGGAACGAAAGGAACTGCAGAGAAAATAAAGGAAAACATCCCTGTAACCCTCAGGCATGGAGGATGCGTAAATGTGTACATGTACATTCTGCAGGCCACGCAGTGCATGGGCTTTTTCACCACACCTTTAATCTCCGTCGTCTGTCCCTCTCTCTCGTTTATGGTTATCTGCAATGGTCAGGCCTTTAGAAATTTCCACTGATCTCAAAGTTGCGAAATTCAAGAAAAGTCATTTCATATATGAGTAGGTGCAGAAGTACTGCAAGAAGACGTGCAACTGTGAATCGAAGTGTCCATTTGTGATGCACATGTGTAGGTACTGTATGTGTTTGCATGAGAGGCCAGGCAGCCGGTCATTTCCTTTGTGCTTTCGTAAGCTTTGGTTGGCTCCATACCAATGGGCATGTGTGACCAGAAAAGTATCTGGTAACGTCTGGCGTACTGGCTGTCTAGGGTCCATTAGGTCCAGGTCTGCATCCTTCTGGGGGAATTGCTGAGTTCTCATTGCTTTCTGAGAAGGTTGTGAGGGCTGCTGAGATGACAAGGCATGCTGGTTGAGGTGGATGACTGGATTAATGCTCTGACAGGGATGTGAAATGCAGAGCACACTCCAGCCTGCCACCACACCCAGGCTAATGCTCTGACGGGGATGTGAAATACAGAGCGTGCTACAGCCGGCTATCCAAGCCAGGCTAATGCCCTGATGGGGATGTGAAATGCATAGCACGCTCCAGCCGGCCACCAAACCCAGGCTAATGCTCTGATGGGGATGTGAAATGCGGATCACGCTCCAGCTAGCTACCCAACCCAGACTAATGCTCAGACAGGGATGTGAAATGGGGGCCACGCTCCAGGCAGCTACCCAACTCTGACAGGGATGTGAAATGTGGAGCGCGCTTCAGCTGGCTACCCAACCCAGACTAATGCTTTGACACGGATGTGAAATGTGGAGTGCGCTCCAGCCGGCTGCCCAACACAGACTAATGCTCTGACAAGTATGTGAAATGTGGAGCACGCTCCAGCTGGACACCCAACTGAGACTAATGCTCTGACAGGGATGTGAAATGTGGAGNCGCTCCAGCTGGACACCCAACTGAGACTAATGCTCTGACAGGGATGTGAAATGTGGAGCGTGCTCCAGCCGGCTGCCCAACCAAGGCTAATGCTCTGATGGGGATGTGAAATGTGGAGTGCGCTCCAGCTGGCCACATAACCGAGAGTAATGCTCTGACAGGGATGTGAAATGTGGAGCGCACTCCAGCCGGCTACCCACCCCAGACTAATGCTCTGACAGGGATGTGAAATGTGGGGCGCGCTCCAGCCGGCTGCCCAACCAAGACTAATGCTCTGATGGGGATGTGAAATGTGGAGCGCGCTCCAGCTGGCCACATAACCCAAGCCAGCAGTACATGCTATTTTTATTCAGCCAGTTGTCAACACCACTGCCAGGAAAGTTGGTTACAAGTTCAAGCATAATCATTCATGGAAATATGCTTCCTTTATTCCCCCTTTTACATGTATCAAAATTATTTATTACAAAAATATAATATAATAAAGAAAATCATAAATTATGAGAGTGGATACCGGTCCAGGTGGGTTACCTCAACGGATTCCTGGATGGGAACAGTTTGAGGCTGGGACACATTACACAAATCACATGAAGATCTTTCTGGAGTTTTATATTTCACTAGGGCCTGAAAGACCACATGACGCCCACTGTAGTTCCGTGCAGTGAGACATCCGTAACCTCACAGGAGGCTGAGAAACAATCAGCTGAGCAACGAAGCCAACAGCGCTGGCAGGTGCCAATTCACGGTGATGCCCGGTTATTATGGTGTCATTAGGAGTCACAAAAAATGCCACCTGGGATTATCACAGACACGCAGAAGCCTTCTTCTGTACTTAGCAAAGAGCATGGCCCGAGTGCCATGATACTTGAGATTGAGAAGATGGCTAGCGTCTCCGAAGCATCCTTTCCGGACAGGGCCGCTGTCTGATGTGAGAGCACTGCTGGAGTGGCGATGGTACCTGATCACCTAGCAGGCAGAGCTGGGACACACTGGGCACCAGCAAGCCCTGTTGGCCAATGTAGGTAGATAGGGGCTGTCTGCTGGTGAGCTTATCCTCTGAAAGTGGGGTGTGCTATCCACCTAGGATTGGTGCCCAGTCCCCCCACTCCCTGGGGCCTGTTTAGAATATACAACTAGAAAATGGATGGATGGATGGATGGACATTTTCTATTTGAATCAATTGCAGGTATAACACTGGGCTTATGAGGCAGCTGCCTTACGGATTGCTGTAGCTATGTTTGGTTTCATTAGAGCCGGAGGGGCTGTTTCTGCATTAGGCGACCCGGTGGGACGTATGAGTCAGGAGAAACAGATATATGGCTGCCAGGATACACTTGTCTTCTGGATTGAATGTTTGTGTCTGTAGTCTGGGAGCTTTGGGGTCAGATGGAATTCATTGTGGGCAGGGGCTTCTGGGCTCGGCTTCCTTCCTCCGTCTGTCGCCTGTGGAGGAGGTCAGACTAGCACAGCTGCTGGTCCATTGGGCCCCATTGCCCAGCCTCCGCTTCTGTCCTACATAATCATGACCTCCTGCCTCTCCACTCTATAGGCGTCATTTTCCCTCGTCTCCTCTGTTTCTTCTCTATCCGACTCGACCGTCATCTCTTACTTCTTCTCTGTCGCTATATGCAGTCACATCCACACCAGCTCCTGCTCCTCACTCCTCTCGCTTAAGGGTTCCCAACATTTTGGGGTCTTATAAAAATATCATGGATTCAGGAGGGACAGATCACTCGGTGGTCGGTGAGGCGGATTTAATGCATTTGACGGTTTCCATTTTTTTGCGCATGCAATCAAGACACGTGATTGTCAGAGGTTGTAAAAAGGTGCGACTTGAAATTATGTTGTTTATTTTTGCAAATTAACCAACGGAATTCGGAAGCCCATCATGCTATCCGGGGCCGTAAACCAAACCAGTCTTTCTCCAGAGACGATGTCTCGACGGTCGCTTTACGTTCCCTAAATGTGGGCTTTCTTGCCTTCTTCCTCCTTTGTGCTTCAGTTCATGATTCCCACTATTTGGATTTGGGGGAAATAAGTGGGTCACTATTAATGGTCTTTTTCTTTTTTTACCCTCTGCTATTTTTTGTGTGACCTAGCTAGAGCCTCTGCTTTGGCGTATTATGGTGCCTCTTTGCTGGCTTTGCGATGCACGCCCTGTGTTTGTAGCATTCATGTCAGCCGTGCTCCCTGATCACAGACCTTCATGTCCTTTTCCTTTCAGATGTTTGGACTCCCTTACTCCTGTGTGCTTTTAATCTCGCTCTGATGACATCTTACAGTGAGGGGCCTGAGCCCCACTGATTAATGGAATGTTTCCGTTTCAGAGCGACGTGCAAAGGGCCGCAGACGCATTCACACGGCACGCCGGCCAGGCTTGGCAGGAAGCACATTTTCAAATGATGATCACATGAGTTTGGTCCACTCTCTTAGCTTAGCTAGCCACACTATAGAACAGGGGTGGGGAATCTTATCCAGAAAGGGCCGTTGTATATGCAGGTTTTCGCTGCAACTCCCAAATTAGGTCACTAATTAGAGGACTGATTGGCTGAAGAGTCCTCACACCTGGATTTGAACAGCTGACCTAAAAGTTATCCCAAAAACCTGCATACACACCGGCCCTTTGTGGATAAGATTCCTCACCCCTGCTATAGAATAAGCTTTATTATAGGTAACAAAAGAAGATTCTCTTTTTATAAACTAATAATCTCTAGCTGATGGACCTCATCGTTGAAACCCTTGACTTTGTTCTTTTAGTATTTTTCTTTAAAAATGATGATTTAGCTGCTTTTACATGGGCTTGTGGTTTAATTTTTAATCTAAGCACTAGTCCATTTGGCAGCACACAGGAACGGGCAGAGCCCCGTCTGAAAGCATGATTGGTTGGTTTCTTCTTGGGAGGCTAAGTGTCAGAAAAATCCTGAATGGTAAAAGGACAGGTACCTTCTTGGTGCTGATAAAAAGGTACACACAGTATGTAGGAAAAAAAGCATATTTGCACCTTTCAGCCGACAATGCCTGCAATGGGAGCACTGGGACCCAGAGGTCTGAGCCAGGCCAACTGGGCCCGGTGCTTACAAAGGCGCAAAAACCCCAGTAGAGCAACTATATAAATTATGTGTGTATCAGTAAGCATACTGCAGCCTGGTCAGATGAAAATCACACAGGAAATGCTTGTGTCTCACAGCTTGCCTTGAGAGCTGAGGTTCCAACAACATAGGAATGCCATGGTGAATGTTTTCCACTGACACTGACATTCTCCGCCTATGACAACAGGGGCCTCTTAGATGGCTGGCTAACCAGCTAGCAGGAAATTACACATAGCACAGCCCACCTTCATACGGCTGCTAATGGTTAGCAGGTCGCACGCCAGCTTGCGGGTGGATCTAGCTTAGACTGCGATCACACTGTAGCTCTTGGGGCCTGGCGGCCCAACCAGCCCAATGAGCTAAATGCTCAGCTATTTCAAGCCGAACAAATCTTGATCTAACTTTGACTAGCTAGTAAACATGTCTAGTTTTAAGATCTCAAATACCTGCATTCTTTAACTACATGAAATACTAATTCAAGCCAGTAAAAAATTTAAAGAGCTATTGTTTGCATAGCTGCCCCAAAGTGCTGCAGAAAGATTACAGTAAGGAAGTCTGAGTGTTATGGTTTGTTTAAATGTTAATGCCACTCACATGGCATAAGACGAGGACGCCTTGCCAGCGCATGAGCGGGCAGGATGCGGGATGCCACACCAGTGGAGCAGGGACTGCTGGGAAAGGTTCAGAAAGATCCACTCTGTGGACCAAATGTAGCACCCAGTACCACATGGCTGGTTTAGTATACCAATAAACCAAAGAGAAAGAGAGGTGAATAGTTCAGGTGCAGAAAGTAAAACTCCAGACCAAGATTTAGTTTCATCCAACCAGTTCAGTACTCTGTGACCGTGACTCTGTATATTCACCTGGTTGGCTGAAACAAAATCTTGGTCTGGAGTTTTACTTTCTGCACCTGAACTATTCACCTCTAAAGAGAACCTCTACAAAATGAAATTTTGAACTTCAATCATCTGAAATATAATGTAGAATCCCAACACTGAATGCATGTAACAGGTCTTCTATAACCCTAAGATAGAGGAAATGAAAATCCCTATCAAGGCTGGTCATGGCTAGTCCTCATTCTGCTGAAGGAGGGTCACACTGTGTGGCTACTGTCTAAGGCGCCCTGTCGCTGGCTGTGTCCGCAGGTGTTTACTCCTGTCCCTGCTACTACTTCCCCGTGCGCTCGGGGAGGGCCGGCCGCACCTCCTTCGTGGTGACAGTGGACCTCAATTCCGGAGCATTTCCACACGATCATTGGGTCAAGAGGGGAGCAGCTCTGCTGATGAGCCTGGACAGCTAAGGAGCACACAGTGTTACTGTTACAGACAGAGCCAGGGCATCACAAAGCCTGTACCAACACACACACATATACACACACAGCCAGGGCATCACAAAGCCTGTACCAACACACACACATATACACACACAGCCAGGGCATCACAAAGCCTGTACCAACACAC